TTCACAACATTTTCTCTTAATTAAAAGGAGCAGTAATATGTGATTTTACCTTCTCCATCTTGCTTTCATTCAGAAATAAAAGCAAAATGAAAATTGTATCAACCATTTCTATTTTGTTCAAGATGTTGCTTGAAGCCTTGAACAAGATTTGATTTAATCAAACTCGTGAAAGTACCAATTTGGTGGGATGCTGGAGATTTTAATACGAGAGAGAAGGGCAAGGCACATGCCTACCTCTTTGTTCTTATTTATTATTATTATTATTGAAAACACACAAGTTTATTATTTATTTTTAAATATTTGTTGACACTTAATTTTTCTGAGAATTTTGGTCAAAAATCTTTTGTAATAAAATTTTCATGTATTAAGGACATGTATAAAAAAAAGTTCTTAAAGCATCTCCAACCCAATCCTCTCACCAAGAGGATGAAAATAAAATATAAAACATGTCACTATTCATTCAAATTTCAATCACAAACTTTCATTTTCTTCCGGATTGGGCGTTACCGGACGTCCGCCGAAAGTCCGGCCAGGCAACTGGTCAACAACAATATTTATTTATTTTTTTAATTGTTGGCCATTTTTTTTTTAAACATTAATCATCATTTTCTTCTCTAAAAATTTCTCTTGTAAATATTTTCATAAAAAATAAATAATTTTTGTTCATTAACAAATATTTAATAAATAATTTTTTGTAAAATATATTTAATATTATATTCATTTTAAAGGTATGAATTCACCCTTTTTAATGATGCAAATTTTATAAAAATTAAATTTACATATTAAAAGTAATTTGTAAAATAATAAAAAATATAAAATGAATAGTATTTTAGAGGGGATTCTCTATTTTTCATCCTCCCTCCAAATATGGAGGATCAACCCATCCTCCTTCCAAATGGAGATGGATTTAGAGGATGGGTTAGAGGAGCAAATCCTTCAAATATGAAGGTATAGAGGGTGGGTTGGAGATGCTCTTAAAAAGTCCAAAATACATTACTATTATCAAAGTGTCATTAATGACCAGTTTAATATTTTAAATTTTAACATGATATAACTTTTGATTTATGTGTCAACTTTTAATAAAATTGATATTTTTTGAATCCTCCCGTCAATATCTATTAAACAAAATCTATGTTGACTATGAAATTTTTTTAAAAAAAAAAATAATCAAAATTTTTAATGTTGAAATTAGCATCAATAGTAAAATTTTATTATGTTTCACAATAGTAAAATTAGCATCAAAAGAGAGTCGATGATCTGTGACCTCAATCTCACAGGAGCAGCATACTCAACCCAATGTCACTTTACCCCCAATAAGTGTCTGTAACATCACCCAAGGATACCCATGTGTGAAAAACAGTTTGAACTCTTGATTTCTTTGATTTAATCTCACGAGTGCAATATGAAACATAGATGAGAGTCCAAATCTAACAACTTTTATAGAAAATTCATTTATTACAAAACATTTGCCAAAATGGACTGTATCACCAGATCTCACAGTTGCCACCTAATAGTTTGGGAAATTAGAAAATCTGTGACTCATGTCAAGGCCACTATTCATCATAGACAAAGATGTCTCATTTAAAACCTTAGGTATGAGAGGGAAGGTTATTAATTGAGCACCACAACTCCCTTGATCAAAAGATTAACCTCTACTAAATCATGATATGAGTTTTATTGACTTTATATATTCGTATTCTGATTTATTTACTAAAATAAAAAATTATTATGTGTAGCAAACAAGTATAAACTATGTCATTCATTTTGGAATAATTTGATTTCATGTATTTTGAAAGAGTTTTGAAGATGTACAACACAAAGAAATTGAGTTTACAAACATGAAAATCAACATCATTCCAAATTAGCAAATAGCCTCATGGTAGAATACTAAACATAGTAAGAAAAACACACATAAGTGAGATGCTAAAGCATAAAAACTTATATATTTACTGACGTCCTGTGAACAGCTACAAAACAAATTTAATAAAATATGCAAGATCTTATATATAAAATCCTAATGCAATTCGCTTGTGAAATGCAACTAAAGATTCGGTTTCTAATATATGATATGTGAATCATATCAAGAACATGATGTAGCACACATAATTACATAAGAATTGATTAAATATATAAATGCAAATGTAGCCTAATCAAGATGCATGAAACATGGATGCAAAGCATGGATATAATGAAAAGAAAAATATCATATTTATGTACAAATAAGAAAACCAAGTAAAAGAATAGGATAGAAAGAATGGGCTAGAAAGAATGGGGAGAAATTATTACAACACTTAAATAATTGCAGATCCGAATAAGAGAGAAGAGGAAGAAAATATTACATCAAAATAAAAACCTCCCAAATCTCTCAAATGAAAATAAAACAAAAGATCTAGGTCTCAAGGATTGCCAGAATCTATTATGTGCAATGTCGGAAGACTACTTTATTATGTCTAGAAGAAGTTAGTCGGCTGGCCAACTAGGCCTAGCAAAATCTGTTTTGTTTCAACATCGAGAAAAGAACAAACAGAGAATATGTATGTGACTTAACTAATCACTTCTAGTTAGATTACAATAAGTTTATATTATGAAGTCAAAACAAGAAAATCAATATAAAAAAGATAATACAAAAACAAAAAAAAAAACAAAAAATGAAAGAAATTAAAAATTCACCTTCTAAAGAAAGGATGAACTTTTTGATTTCCAAACTTTGTTTTGATAACCCTCAAGGTTTTGAATTATGTTCTCAACCCTCAATTCAAAAGTTTGAAATTTGAGCTAGAATGGTGACTTGAATTGTACAACACTATATGTGGGGGAAAATTAGTGAACTCTTTGATTTTCTCTCTTTCAACATCAATCACTCTCTATTTGATCAAAACTCTAGAATTTAACTTCAATAACATGACTTAGATGACTTTTGTAATAGAAGATGAGACATAGTGTATAGCTTGAGAAAATGGAAGTTCACAACTAATACTCAATTTTGGTCAACTCTTGAATTTAAAGCTTAGCCTCTCTCTTTCTCTATCTCTAGCCTTCTCCCCCAATCACTCTATCCTCTTCCTCCTCTCAACAATCTGATGTGTTTATATAGGTAATGCAAGTGGAGGAATGGTGGAAGACAAGAATGAAGCATTAATGAAGACAATGGAGCAAATAGAACACAATAGAGCTAATGGAAGACAAAAATGGAGCATTACCTTCAATGGATCAAGGACTAGGCAATGGAGGTTGAGTGTGTATGCATTCAATGCATGAATGGATTAGAAAATGGGATTGTGAAGTGCCCTACACAAGCTAAACAAAAATAGGTTTGCACTGTCCTTGGGTTGTCGACCAGGCAATTGGCCCTTTAGTGAGAAATTTGCCCCTTTTGCCCCAGTTCAATCTAGTTTTGCTCCGACTGTCAGATAGGACTTAAACACTTAACCAAAATATTTTTAGGGTTAAGAAAACTCAAATTCCATCTTTCTTACTGAGAATTTTGTGAAAAACACTTTCTTGTTTTCATCATCAGGTAATCAAAAGAAAGTGCCCAAGTCTTAGGGTCGGTCAAAATAGAGTGTCTACAATTGCCTCTTTTTGACACAGCTTGAAGTCATTTCATGACGTGAGTGAATGTCAAAGTCCGAAGACGACCCTTTTGACAAGGCCATCAGACTTGGGCAAAGAAACAAGATGCAAACGCAATTGGTTAAACTCGACAGTTGTTTACGTATCCCTTTGCAAAGAATCAAACCAGCGTAGTTCAAGGACAAAATGCAAATGATATGCTCAAAATACAATTGAAAGTTGGACTTACACGCTTCGTGAAGCCAGTAGCCTCTATTTACCGGTACTTGCGAGATTAACATATTGATTGAAATGTTTAGGTACTATAAACTTTAAGCCCACAAATTGAAATATGCAAGTCTATCCACCGCCACAACCGTGGACTCCGACACCGACTCCTCTCTCTTCTCCAATCGGTCCTCAATCAGTCCCTCTCTCATCCCTAATCGCCTCTCTGAAACCCCAAACGCAAACCCCTAATTCGAAGATGGAGAGAAGTGAGATAGGGTTTGGTGGTAGTGAGATACGGTTTGATGATCAAAATGAGGAATATAAAGAGAGAAGAGAGAGAGAGAGAGTAATGGACTGATGGTAGCGTCTTGGAATGAGAGATAAATTGATAAGGTATTGTTTGGGAGTGTGTAACATGAGCCAACGGCTCTATTTTAATTTGCAATGTCATATTTTTATTTTATAATTAAATTTCATATTTATTTTTATTTTTTATTTTTAATTTAATTGTTAGTATAATTTAATTTTTTGAATAAAGTATAATGAAATAATAAATATATTTTTCAAATGAAGGCAATAAAAAGATAAAATAAATACATATTTTTTTCCAATTTTTCAATTTTTTATTTTTATTTTTATATTTATCTAATCGGAAATAATATAAATATATAATTTTTTTTACAAATAGTTAAAAAAAGTCACAAAAGACAAAAAATAAATAAACTAAAATCACAAAAAAACTTATATCTAAACAACACCTATAAACTTGGAGGGAAAATTAGTTGAGATTTGTCAAAATAACAAATAACCATTAGAGCATCATTGTTATAATTTGGCAAAATAACATTATTCACTGCCAAATTATAATAATAATAATAATGGCATTATAGCAATAATGATTAGAGATGTTCTCAAGCAATTATTTATCCATTAATTTGTTGGGGTTAATTGGTTATTAAATAAAGAGAAAAGTTAGGGATCATGAAAATTTTTTTCATGAAAATAATCATAAAAGATTTATGATTTTTGGATTATCTTGATTAGTGTATTGTACTTTCTTCTAAGTGTAATTCAAGGATTACAAAGTTTTCATAATTATTTTCATGAAATTTTTTTCTTGATACCTAGCATTGTTGTTAAATAAAAGTATTGCAATAAATTATTATTGTTTTCATAGACTTTAGGCAAGCTGATCAGTTGCTTGGTAGAGTCGCCCCTGGTTTTGAAGCTTTGCAGAGTTTACTTCGAGTCTTCCCAGGCTGTCCCACTTTCACGTGTACCCTTTTAACACCATTACTTTTGCTCTCTCTCTCTCTCTCTCTCTCTCCCTGGTTTCCCTTTTTATAAGGCAGACGTGCATGGCAACCATTGCATTCAGTTAGAAAAGAAATATGGATATAGTGAAAATGGAGGCTCTTCTAAGGCTTTCCTCAACATTGCTCTTAGTCTTGACTGCTTGTCTTGTTGGTTTTGATACCCAAACCAAGGTTATTTTGTTCTCAATTGTCAGAAAAGCCACTTTTAGAGACTTGAATGCCTTAATGTAATCTCTCTCTCTCTCTCTCTCATCAAAAATTAGTTCTAAGAAGAGGCTATGCAAATGAAATAGGATCGTCTTTCTAAACTGATTATTACAGCTTTGGTTATATGTATTCAGGGCCTTGGTGTGCATTGATTCTGTGGCTGCTGCTTATAATCTTCTACAACTACTCAGATGCTTTGTCTTTAAAGCCAATCAAGTGCAGTCATACCTATGCCTTGCTTGGGTTTGTTTCTTATTAGACCAGGTATTTTTCATAGGTAAAATTACAAATAAGTGCCTTCGCAAAACATTTATAAATTAATAGAAAATTTTATTATTTTAATTATTAAAAGTTGTAAAATTTATCACTCATTTGAAATTTTCTTTGACAACGAGCACTGAATTACACTTTTTCCCTCTTCGATACTCTCTCTCTCTCTCTCTCTCTATATATATATATATATATATTGTACTTTATTTGTTTTGGATTTATATTTTTTTCATTCAGGGGTTCGCTTAACTTTAACGTGCCTTAAAGTAAAATCTCAATAGGAAACTTTTTTATATTTAAATAATATTTATTAATTAGTTGAATATGATTTTTTTTTTATTATTGAAAACATAAATTTTAAATTTTTGTACAATCTTTATTATCAGGCTCTATAGTCAAGGAATATTTTTAACTTATCCTTAGATTTTTTATTTTCTTATATAATTGAAAGGATTTTTTTAGCTTTTACTGCATATTACGTTTGTTTCCAGTTAGAGCAGTACATGCCTGCCTAACCAGAGTAAAGAGATTGAAAAAATTAGTTTGGTTGTAAAGTTGCAGACTATGCTATGGTTAGCATACCAATTAATAGTGGGTGTAGACAGCTGTAAGATTTATTTATTTATTTATGGGCGAAAATATATTTTGTTGTTGTTATATTTGGTTATTTTTCACTTTGACTTTTAATTTTTTTTTTTTTCACTTTACCTTTTTATGTTTTGAATTTTTTTTTCAATTTACTCTAAAAGTTAACTTATATTCAAAATTATAAAAAAAATGGGTTTTTTTTAAGGTCCCTCATATTAAGATTTTATAACATAAAGGACATCTAATATTTTCATAATATCTAAAGTTCCTCAAGTTGATCCAGAGAAAATTGGTCCAGAGAAAATTAGTCCAGAGAAATTTAAATTTCTCTGGCCTCCTTAACCTTTCTTGGACTCTCCAGAGAAATGGAGAAATTTCAAATTTCTCTGCCTTCCATATACTTCCCACTCTCTAGAGAAATTTCTCTGTGGCTTCTTTATCTCATCATTAAGATTGTTTGGTGAAATATTACCTATGCTCCAAAGCTAATCCATCTTGACTTAAATTTTACTGTTATTAGGTTTGTGATTTTGAGTTATCTCGAATGAAACACAGCACATTTCTTTCTTCAAGGTCAAGTGCGGGGACTGAACTCTACAAAACCACCCAACACAACATTTGCTTGGCCTGAACTCTACAAAGCCACCTAACACAACCATAGAAACATAGCAGCAATTACAGGGGCATTAGCCACAACCCAGCAAAACCCAGAATAGAGCTAAAAAAAAAGAAAAAAACAGCAATCTGCAGCCACCAGGCCACCATCTAAAGCCCATAAAACAAGTTCTAAAAAATGAACCAAACATCGCAAGATGGTAATTTCCAGAGAAATTCTCTCCAAACCAAGGAAATTCCCAAAGAAATTCACTTCATTACGTGCAGAGAATTACTTTGAGTTTAAATCAGAGAAAATTAAAATTTCTCTTAATTTAAACTAGAGAAATTTCAACACTGTCAGCCCAAAATTTCTCTGGTTTGTAGGAAACATTATATTCAACACTGTCAGCACAAACAATATATGCATGCATATATATGATACATACATACACACACACACACACATACACACACACACATATATATATATATATATATATATATATGTGCACAAACAATACTGTTAACTCCATTGTGCTCTCTCTTTGTATATATCATATATACACATATATATGCATTTTCTGTACAACAATGGCTTCGGAGACCAAGGAAGATGGTTTGAAGAAAGTATTACCACACAAACATAGCCCAAACAAAGACAGACCCTATGATTGCTTCACCGTCGCCGTCGTGACCTCCTCTTCCTTCTCCTTTTCATCCCCACTCACTCCGTCGACATTGGTCCAATCAGACTCGTTTCCAACCTCATCGACACCGAGCATTCGTTTCGGTGCTCTCGATTTGAATCTCAAATCGACGATTCTCAACTGGTGCTACTTCTCCCGTACCGAACGCCCTCCGTTACCGGATTACAGCTCCGTCGAGACCACGATTCGTGGGTCTGGATGTGTTTGAGCAAGAACAAGGGTTTTAGACGCCATTTTTGGGTGAAAAGTTGTTACTAGTATGTATGTATATATATATATATATATATTTTTGGGGGTGTATTGACTTGAATTGGAATTGGATTTGACTGAGAGTGAGTAGCTTGTATGCAAGAAGAAGTGAACTCGGTGATGGAATGTTCGAAGAAGGCGCAGAAATCATGGGCAAAGAATTAAATTTCTCTGATATATGTTTAGGGATCTTAAACATCAAAAAATAATTTTGTGTATCTCTTCCATTAAGAAAAGTGAGAGAGGGACCCTAGACTAATTTTTTCAAAAAAAAAAAAAACTCATTGACAATTACGTTGCATAAAAATATTTTATTATATTTATCTCACAGAGTGAGTAGCTTGTATGCAAGAAGAAGTGAATTCGGTGATGGAATGTTCGAAGAAGGCGCAGAAATCATGGGTAAAGAATTAAATTTCTCTGATATATGTTTAGGGATCTTAAACATCAAAAAATAATTTTGTGTATCTCTTCCATTAAGAAAAGTGAGAGAGGGACCCTAGACTAATTTTTTCAAAAAAAAAAAAAACTCATTGACAATTACGTTGCATAAAAATATTTTATTATATTTATCTCACACCTCTCTAACACAAACCTAAACACAATATAATAATATATTCTTTATGATATGTGGCAGCATGACATTTTTTGTCAAATTTTAAACATAAATTAGCTCTATGATTAACTTGAGAAAAACTTGAAAAAAAAAAAAAAAAACCTTCAAGGGATAATATGGGAAAATGGCCAAATATAAAAACGACAAACATAAAAGGCACAATGTGTAATTTACCCTTATTTATTGGTAGAAATGGTACTAGCTTAAATTAAAAATAACAAATTACATCGGTAGTCATTATATTTTAATTCTTCTTCTTTTATTATTTTAGTTTATATAATTTTAATTTTTTTTTTCTAAGTTTAGTACAATTTAAAACAGCTATTACTATTTTTTTTTAAATAAAAAATGCATAAATAAGTGGCATCTATATGATAAGGAAGACATTTTAGAGGGAGCTTTGATAGAGACTCCCTCCAATCACTCCTCACCCCTCTTCACACACGTGGCGGGTGGTGATTAAAAAAAAAAAAAAATCTAACCTATGAGAGAGAGGGTGTCAAGGGGATAGGGGAAAAAGGGTTGGTCTTTTTCCTTTTAGAGGCTGCAAAGAAGGGAGTTAGTATAGGATAAGAGCATACTCCTTAGATGTACTATAGCAATTCCCTTGTAACATGATTCCAGTAATTGGTTAAGTGGTTAAGTTGTATACAACTGATATATATATATAAATGATAAATCTTTATAAAATCATTCACTCATTTTTCATCCTGTATCAGAGTGTGATTAAGCTCTAACTAGCGATCTAGTCATAGATGAATTCAGGATTATGTCTTTGAGGATGTTACTCTATGATTTTAAAAATTTAGAGACTATTCTATATAATTTTAAAATTATATACAAAAAATTTGACATGTGAATTCCTATAATTTTAAGTTATTTTAAAATTTTTAATATAATATATGAATTTTTAATATAAATTTCTTATTCATCACCTTCAATCACAGAAAATCTGAGCATGTTGATCTCGAATCTGAATTCATTTGTTACTGTCAAACTTGACCGTACAAATTTCATTATCTGGAAAAATCAACTCCAGAACATCCTTCATGCTACTGCTCTGTTGAAATTTCTTGATGGATCATATCCATGTCCTAGCCCTATGATACGAAATTCATCAAGTGTTCAAATTCCAAATCCAGAATCGATTCTTTGGAGGACAATCGATGCTCATCTTCTGAGCTGCCTTACAGCTTCTATGTCTCATTCTATTTTCACTTCAGTTCTTTGTCTTAAAACGGGTTCAGAGGTCTGGTCTTCACTGGATAAGCGATTCACATCATTGTCCAGGTCTCACATTCATCAGTTGAAGAACAAGTTTAGTTCCATTTGGAAGAAATATGAATCAATGGAGACATATCTGAGTCGAATCAAGGATTTGGTTGATCAATTGCGTATAGCATCAGCTACAATTGATGATAAAGACAATGTACTCATTACCTACCTTGAATGGTCTTGCTACTGAGTATGATGCTCTCAAGACTGCTCTTAGGGCTTGATCTAAGTCCATTTCCATGGAAGATCTTTCTTTTTGGTTGAAAGCAAGCTTCAACAATCCTTAAAATTAACAGTTGCCTATACTACTATGAAGGATTCATTTTCAGCATCTTCAAAAGGCTTCAATGCTTATCAATATGGAAGAGGTTATTCTCGAAATGACTTCTGAGGTTCTTATAGAGGCAATAGATCCTCTCGTGACAGGACTTCCGTCTTCTTTTCATGGCAGATCTCAGCCTCACAAGTCCAATTTTGGTATTATTTGCCAAATCTGTGGCAAGCCTAATCACTCTGCCTCAGACTATTGGCATAGACTTGATACAAATTTTCAACCTATTTCTCCATCTTCACAACAATCATTTTCTTCATCTGTGCCTTATGCATCCAAAACTTATGTTGCCTCCATTCCAGATGCTACCTCCTCTCAGGTCTCAACCCCATGGTTCTTGGACTCTGCTGCAACTGATCACATTACAGATGATCTCCATCAATTGAACTTCTATCAGCCTTACGCTGGCACTAATCAGGTCACCATTAGTAATGGTTCTTCTCTTTCTATTCAGCATACTGATAAAGGTATCTTGCCCACTCCTCATTATTCCTTTCAATTACAGCATGTCTTGCGTGTCCCATCTATCTCTTCTAATTTCATTTCTGTTCAAATAATGGCTAAAGATAATAATTGTTCTGTAACTTTTGATGGTACTTCTTTCTTTATTCAGGACAATCACACCAATGCTATTCTGCATAGAGGTGTTCGTGCTTATGGCCTCTATCATTTTTTGCATCATCCATCATCCACTTCGCATACTTGCCATAACTCTACTACTTCTCCATCTGCTTCTCTTTGGCATAAGAGACTTGGCCATCCATCATCTCATAAATTTCATGTTCTTAAGAATCATTTACCTATTTCAATAAATAATGATTTCATTTCTTGTAATGATTGCTCAGTTGCAAAATGCCATCGTTTACCATTTAAACTTTCTAATTCTACTGTAAATGCTCCTTTTGCTTTAATCCACACTAACGTTTGTGGGCCCTTTACCTATTCTACTTCCTCTTACAGATTTTATGTGTTGTTTGTGAATGATTTTAGTCGTTTTACTTGGCTTTTTCCTCTCTCTTGTAAAAGTGAAGTTTGTTCTAAGTTTAAAGAATTCAAAATGTTTGTGGAAAACAATTTGGTTATCCCCTCAAAGTTTTAAGGTGTAACGGTGGTTGTCACGCCCCCAATTTCATTACTCGAATAATTTACCAAATTTCCTTGTAAAAGTTCATTTCCAATAATAGTTATAGAAGTTACACAAGCTAAATAGAATAAATGAGGTTCACTCTCGCATAGATATAATGATACTAAAAATGTTCACAATAATATTCACTGTACATGCCAACAAGGCTTACATGAAAGATTTCAAAATAAATAATTACATAGACAGAACCACCTCAACACTAGTATCCTATAATCTTTCAATAACAATTTATATAAAAGAAACTCATAACATAACAAATAGCTTCTTGATCTTCCAACTGTTGTAACCGACTCCATCTCTGAAAAATGGTTAAACAATATGGGATGAACACGAGGTCCAGTAGGGATCCACAATGATTCTCAACAATAATAATCAACAGATAAATGTGATCATGAATGCTATCATATGATACATATATAGATAATATGTCCTTTTATGTGCAAAATAGATTGTATAAATAGATACTCTTTTCACAAAATTCCACTTGACATTTCATAGAGACCTCCTTTGTTAACTCTTTATCTCATCAAAATTCATTCGAGTGATTTCCTTAAACCTCGTTTCCTTAGATAAATGTTTTAAGCCGACCGATCATTTGCGACTTCCAATTCATATTTCACACTCATTAATTATGTTACAACTCGTCACCTTACCAATACACACAAAACACCAAATACTTGCACACCACACACATTTTGCAAAATTGGGCTATAAGAGTCAACTCATTAACAACATGTTCCACATTACACGCTTCAAATCTACATCTAACAATTTTTACAATCACATAATGGAATTGTTATCAGAATTCTCAACAATATTCACATGCCCACAATCGGCTTCACCAAGCCTTACCAACAACGTTTATTGGGCGCTACTCCGAAAGGAAAGGCGGAACTTATCTCAAGCGCCACGCTTTACCGGTGGCTAACCAGAAGGAAAGCGGAACCTCCATATAGCCCAACAGTCCACATGCTTTTTCCGGAGCCACTCTGGAAAGAATGCAGAACCTCTATCAAGCGCTACGCTTAATCAGCCACAAGTTGGAAGGAAACGGATCCTCTTTCCAAATTTTAACCCATCAATTCTTCATTTCAATCCAGAAAGTCAACCAAAATTCATTTAACAACAAAAGTAAAGTTTTTCCTTCATAAAAAAATGTGACTTATTTTTCCACAGTGTTCCCCACACCTCAACATCAACTCCTTTCAATTCAATTAATCAACCATTTAGTATTATACATTTTCCATACTTGGTAACACAAATTTCCATCACCAATTACTATATCATCAACCCATCCCGTAAGGATTGTTCTCACAACATCTAATAATCAACATTCATACTCAATTCAACTAACCATCAAATCAATTTCAAGAATTTAAGGCCAACTGAAGAAAGCCCCATGTTTAAATAAAATTCAAAACTAAGGTTTGGACAAAAATTAGGCCTTTTCACTCTAAAATGCATAATCACATTTCAATAACTCAAAATTTTCTTAATCGACTTTAAATCGTAAGTTAACTCTTTTGTGTTAGAAACCCTAACATTTCTCCACATGCTTTTCAAGAAAATACCTTTCAACACAAGGTTTTATGCAATAGAAACATACCACCCATCTATCTATATGAAAATATTAAAGAGAAGCAAGAAATCCCTACCTCTAGCAAGGAGAGAAGGAGACCCGAAAATCCAAAGTTGATGAAAACACGATCCACTAAGATTAATAGGAAGCCCTTTTCGTGCTCTTCATTTTTGTATAAGGAACTAGGGTGAGATTTTCATTCTAAGGAGATGAAATCCAAGGTTTAAAGAGCTTGGAGCTCAACAAAGGCTGAAAAGAGAGATGAGAGAGAGAAAGAATCTGCAAGGAATGAGGAAAAGTGACCCAAAAATGACTTTTTTAAAGTGCTGATCCCAAACAGACCGCTCGAGCGAACATTTCAATGCTCGCGCGATGAACGCAATCTCTCAGAAGTTTTGCAGGTCTACAGTGAAATACTGGGAGTCTCGTTTCTCTGCTCGAGCGACCACTTGACCACTCAAGCAGTCACCCTAGACACAGCTAGTCACAACACAATTCCTAAGGCATTCCCAGTACATCAATCTTATTTTCATAAATGCTTTCATTTAGTCTTTTACATTTATATTGCATTTACTTAAGTTTACAATGTAAATTAGGAAATATTCCCCATTTGGATTCAAAGAAAAATTCAAAAAAATAAAAAATAAAAAAAAATCAAAATTCAATTAAATCAAAAAATGACTCTCCAGTTTTAGTACAACAATAATTTTTTGATTGAAATTTCTAAGTTTGACGTTGAAGTAAAGTGATGAATACATCATAGAAAAATCCCATAAAATCAAATTAGACAATTTAATGTATAAGGAACTATTACTGCCAAATATTATTTTTAAAATCATAAGTTTTGAAAAATCCAATTTTTACACTTAGAAAATTTTCAGACTAAAGTCCAATTTTTTTACAGAAAACTTAGATCTTGACCTGAACCGTTACAGTGGTGGTGAGTTTTTTTTAATTCTTCTATGCAATCATTTATGAACTCTGCTGGCATTCATCATCAGTTTTCATGCCCATATACTCCTCGAAATGGAGTTGCCGGAAGGAAGCACTTGCATATTGTTGAAACAGCTATTTCCCTCTTACATCATTCTTCTCTCCCTTTGTCTTTTTGGTTTGAAGCTATTGCCACAGCTGTTTATCTCATTAATCGTATGCCTAGTGCCTCTTCGTCCAACTCTTCACCTTATGAGATTCTTTATCATCATCCACCTGATTATACTTTTCTAGAGGTCTTTGGGTGTTTTTTGCTTTCCTTGGCTCAAACTTCATGCTCCTCACAAATTAGCTCCCAAATCCACTTCTTGTGTCTTCCTAGGGTATCACCCTTCAGCAAAAGGTTACAGATGTCTGAACCTTCTCACTGGGAAAATTATTCTTTCTAGACATGTTAGATTCCGTGAGCATGAATTTCCTTTTTCTTCCTCTTCTTTACAACCTCAGCCTGCTCCTCTTTCTCAACTTCAATCTTTCTTTTGGACTTCTCAGTTTCCTCTCTCAATCTATCCTTCTCCTGCTACTTCGGTTTAGTCTCCTTCTATTCAATTTGGGTCTTTACCACAGTCTATATCCATACCATAGTCTAGCCCATTGCCTACTCTGTCCAGGTCACAGTCTATACCACCTGTATCTGCATCCACACAGCATTCATCTGAACAACTGCAGCATACTTCTGCAACACTACAACATACTTCTGAAACAATGCAGCATCTCTCTGAACCATTGCAGCACAACTCTGCCCGCATTCAGTCTTCAATCCAATCTGTGCCTGCTCCAGAACCAGTCCCTATTAATTCTATATCAGCTGTATTGCCTTTGCCACCACCTCCTACCAACATTCATTCTATGCAAACTAGATATAAGTCCAGATCTGTTTGCCTGGCCACTACACTTGCTTGTAGTGATAATTCGGAGCCCCTCTTCTATGAAGCAGCCCTGCAATCTCCTGTTTGGATTCAAGCCATGCTTGATGAATTCAATGCTCTTCAACAACAAGGAACTTGGTCCTTGGTCTCTCTCCCTTCAACCAAATAGGCCAGAGGATGTAAATGGGTTTTCAAGCTTAAAAGAGCCTCAGATGGGACTGTTGCTAGGCATAACGCCCGATCGATTAGTTGCCAAAGGCTTCCTTCAACAGCATGCTATTGACTTTCAAGAAACTTTTAGTCCAGTAACCAAGTAACCCACCATTCGCATTCTCTTGTGCCTAGCTTTACATCATCATTGGCCTATCAAACAACTTGATATTTCAAATGCCTTTCTTCATGGCAAATTAGAAGAAGAGGTTTATATGGAGCAACCACTTGGGTTTGTTGATCCATCTCACCCAATCTAGTTTGCAAATTACACAAAGCCCTCTATAGTTTAAAGCAAGCTCCAAGATCTTGGTATTCTACCTTTAGTTCTTTTCTCCTTTCTCAAGGCTTCATCCAAAGTCTATGTGACTCTTCTCTCATTGTGCATAAAACCTCTTCCTCCATTACTTACCTCCTCATTTACGTTGATGATATTCTCTTTACAGGTTTTGAGTCTTCCTATATTCTTCATCTTCTTTCTCATATGCACCAAGGTTTTTCTATGAAAGAACTTGGTAATATTTCCTATTTTCTTGGTATCTCAGTTCAATCTATTTTGACTGGTTTCTTTCTTTCTCAGCACAAATATGCTGCAGACTTGCTGGCCAAATCAGGCATGATTGATTGTAAGCCATGTGCTACCCCAGTTTCTGTTAAACCTCCATTATCTCCTGATGATTCTCTCCCTTGTACACAACCATTTCTCTACAGGAGTATTGTTGGTGCCTTTTAGTACCTTACTATCACTAGGCCTGAACTTTCTTTTCCCGTTAACTAAGCATGCCAACATATGCACTCTCCCACTATGGGTCATTTTGCAGCTGTCAAAAGAATTCTGCAATATATTGATGGCACTTTCACACATGGTCTTCATTTTCAACCTAGCTCATTTCAGTTTCGTGCCTACATTAATTGACTCCAATTAGGCTGGAGATCCTCATGATCGCTGGTCCACTTCTGGTTACTGTTTTTATTTGGGCTATAACCTCATCTCTTGGTCCTCTAAGAAGCAATCCACTGTTAGTCGCTTTTCTACAGAGGTTGAATATCGTTCACTTGCCCACACTGCAGCAGAGGTTACTTGGTTACAAATGTTAATGATTTCTCCATTCTTCAACTCTGTTCTCCAATTATTTGGTGCAATAATCAGTCTGCTCTCTCTCTGGCTTCTAATCCTGTTTTACGTAGTTGCTCAAAGCACATTGAGGTGGATTGCCACTATATTCAGGAAAAGGTTGCTGCTCATCAACTTCAACTCAAATACATTCCCACCACAGATCAATTGGTTGATCTATTCACCGAGTCCCTTTTTACTGCCAGATTTTCCTTTCTTGCTTCCAAGCTAATGGTATGTTCTCCACCCTTAGCTAGGGGGGAAATGATAAGGAACACATTCTACAGGCTACAAAGAAGAGAATTAGTATAGGATAAGAGCATTCTCCTGAGATGTACTATAGTAATTCCCTTGTAACAAAATTTCAGTAATT